GAGACAGGATTCACTCTCACCCTTTCACTGATGGCTTTTGAAGGAGCTGGGCTCTGCTGGGTGGTGCCAGGCAGCTTCACCTGCAGGGAGGTCTGATTTCTCTCTGGCCCCTTCCGACCCCTACAGAACAGGGGACATGCTGGGACATTTCCCTAGGGAAGAGACAGAAGGGGTCTGTGAGCTGATCAGCCTTCTGGCAGAAGCAGCAGATTTGGATGATGATATAATTATTATCATTATAGTCCCTTACCTCTTGGAGGTGGGTCTGTGGATGGGCCAGATCAGCACCTGCAACATTGCCTCTCGTGCGGTGCACTCCTATGTTGGAGGAATTTAACTTCTCCCCCCTTGCGCTCTCTGTTGTCAGATCGAGGAGGCGGTGGCTGTGCTCCAGGCACACCAGGCCACTGAGCCGTCACACAAGAGCAGCGCCGTGGTGTTCCTGCAGTGACCGCGGGTAGGTGCGGGAGCCGCTGCGGGGTCTGGCCGTGGTGTGCTCGGGGTTTTGGACTCTGAACTGGGGACTGGGGTTCTTGGCCAGTGCAAATATGGCTTGATGAGCGCTGTCAGTATTTTTGGAATATTCCACTTCTTAAACTGCATCCTCCATTTTCCAGACTTAAATGTACTGCAGAGCCATGGGTCTGTGTGGTTTTCCTCTATATTCATGAAGATGACAAAAGTGCAACCAGAAAGGAGACAGGGAAGGACCTTGCTTTTCTGCAGGTCTGGTGGGGACTGGCACAATCCTGCCTGGGATCTCCCAGTATTTTTTTTGCAGAACGCTGTCAGTAGATATCCTATAAAAACGGTGGAGGTCCTGGGTGGGGTTGATCAGGAGGACTGGCCCTGCTGCCAGGGCTGGGACAGACCGTTAACGAGCAATTCAGCCTCTCCCGTACCCCATTGAAGGTAATATTTTCTTGACTTGTGATCGCAAGGAAACTGTGTTAATCGATGTTCAGGTGAATTCTTGGCTGGATGAAATTGTTCCTCTAGCAGTTGAAAATTGCATATGTTGGTTCTTTGGTTTTTTTGTAGACTTTGGGACTGAGAGCAAGCCCTGAGAACACTGCCTTTGATGAACAGCAGCAGCCAGCCCCCACCATATTTTCGGAATTGTGCCTGTACAGTGACCCTGGCTTGTCTTCAATGCCTCATCCTATTTTTTTGTGTGTATTGTAAACCTTGCAGAATTGCTTCCTCCTGCACCTGTAAAAAATTCCCACGTTAATTCTCTTCTTGCCACTGAAAGCATCTTTTGGAATGTAGTGTGGAACCCAGCCTGGTTCAGTTGCCCAGGAAATGACAAGTCCCGATGATTCATCATTTTTACAGAATTTATTGGGTTCTGTAGTTTTATTTGTTCCTGTAGCTGACACTAATAAAGAACTTATGCTTCCACCCCCTCCAAGCATGGGTTAGTTCCCTTTGCAGAAAGAGAGCAAATACTTTTTCTCTGTTTCATGCAGGTGGAGGGATGGACTTGGGTCAGGCTGCTCCAATTAGTGTTTGAAGGTTGTGACACTGGCAGGGTGGCAGTCCCAAGTGCTGGCTTGGGGACAGGATGGGACATACAGGATTAAATGAGCAAATCACTCACAAACAGGTGCTCCCAATTCTTTCTGACTCTAGGAGGATGGCTTTAAGCAAATTTCACACTATCTACCTGGACTTCATCCTTTCTAGCTAGCCCTTCCTAACTTCCTTTCAAAGGCATAATCTCGTACGCCTGCAGCTGTACCGGGACTGAGCATCTCCTGCTGGCCACCACACCATGTGTGTATGTCTGTGGTGCACGAGACCCAGCTTTTGAGGTATTGTGCAGCAGCTGTAAATCAAAAGCTGATTCTCCAATGTGTGTTCCTGAGCAGTGGTTTCAAGGAGTCACTGATGGGCCTGAAAACATTTGTAACTGCCCTGGGTCCCACTGGGACACTCCCTGCTCGCAGGAGTGCCTGGGACCCGTTCCTGCTGTGTTCTGCTCTCTGGGCCTTTCCCAGAGCATGTCACTGTGTCATCCTGGCCCTAATGCTCTGCTCTTCCTCTTTAGGAAAGGAATTTCAGTCCCGAGATGCTCCTTGGTGCTTGAGACTGGTGATGCATTGACCTTGCTTGACTGCTTCCTTTAGGAGCCCACCTCCATCAGCCACCTACCTGCTTTCTGTCCAACCCGTGCGCTGATGTTGCCATCTGGTTCTTCCTTCTGTGCTGTATCATACTCTCACTTCAGCTTGCTGCCAAGTCATCCCTCCTACCTCTTGTTTTCCTTCCAGCATTTTGATAGAATCACTTACGCATTTGTTCCTGCATGGTGTCTGTTCTGCTCAGCTGGGACTCTTCCTAGGGCTTTTCATCATTCCTTTTTCTTGCTTTTTTTTTCCTTTCCCCAATTCTTCCTCTGGCCTTCTTAAATATTTATTTTCCTCAGAGCAGATGCCTCAGCCTCAGCTGTGCACTATTTAGATATCTCCTTCTCAGTGCTTATAAAGGACCTTAATCCACTTAATATGCAGGACCTTCATTTATTTTTCCCAAAGTGTAACTGGCTGGAAGCTTTTACACTTTGTCTCTAGAGGAAAAATGGGTATTTGCATGATACATAAGAAGCTGGAACAGAACTGTACAGGTAAACTTCATTCTGCTGTTGGCTAGCTTGTCTGCAACTTTGTTCCAGGTTACCAGGACCATTCAGATGCACCTGTGACACCACCTACAACACTGGATGTCTTGGCTTGAGAAGGTGGCTGTAAAGCCAGAGGGAATGCAGAGTGGGGCCAAGGAACACAGGGACATCAGAATAGCCTAAGAAAGGATGTGAACAAAGACCAGGGTCTGTAAAATGTTTACACGTATACTGGAGGATACTTCCAGAGTAGCTCCGTGGCAGAACTCCACAGGGATGTCTGGGGCTTTAGGGAACTGAGGGGGGAGCAGCAATGCGAATGTGAATCTGGAGTCTCTGGTTTGGAATAGTTGCTGTGGCTTTTGAAAGGTGTGGATGAAGATGTGCCTGTGACAAGCACTCTCCAGCCTGTGGACAGCACTACCTTTGCATGCCTGGCAAGTGTCCTGCAAGGACAGCAGCACCGTTGTGGGAACAGAAGGGGAGACAGGAGCCCAAGTGACCCAGGCTTAAGTAGCGAGTGTTGTTCCCGTGCTTGATCTTTGTCCACCTGGTGGTATTGCTGGCGAAAGTCTTAGAGATAAGGTACAAAAACACATTGCTGTTGCTGGGAGGGGAAAGAGATGGTGAATGCTGCTGCTTAGAGGTGTTGTAATGAATTGTAGTTGAACAGGACAGGTATCTGCCCTTCCAGATAACAGCAGCGCTCTTAAAATACTGGCTCTTAACTAACTGAAGCCAGACTTCCTCCTGTATTCTGTGACCTTCCTCTGCTTATCTGTGTACTGCTGGCCTGTGCTTCCCCACCCTGAAATCCATCACACTTACTTGCTAAGAGCTTGGGCAAGTGCTGCTTGCAGGATCAATGGAGCTGTGGCGCACAGAAGTGGGAGCAGAGTGCACAGAGCACTTTGTGTCCCTCAGGGAGTTGTTTCAAGCCCTGGCCCATTACAGCTGATGGAGTACAGCCCTGGGACCTACAGAAAGCTATTTAATATCAGGCTAAGGTAAGAAGTCCTTCTCTTTAACAGCATTCGAGGGATTGCTTTCCGAATTCAGTTCAGCGGGATACCTGCCCAAAACACAGACTGCTGGGAGAAGTAAGGTGGAAAACGAAGATACCTGAACCCTGACTTATAAATTGGCTCAGGTCCAGTGTTGTCCAGCATCTTGACTTACTAGTTAAAGCACTCTACCCATGTGCAGTGTGCAAGGCTGAGCAATGGTTACAGACTCTGATGCACTGTCACTGACAGATGGTTTCCAAACCAAGGCATGGTACAGCAGCGCTTGAGGTCCTCTGACACAAAGAGGGGACAGTATGAAGTAAAGTGGTTAAAAAAGTGTTCCAGTCCCCTATAACATCCATCACAGGGAAAAAACACAGCTCTAAAGTGAAAATAAACATGGCTTTAATGAGACCTGATTTTAACAGTTCACAGAATAACTCCAAATGTCTCTTTTACCTACCCTTTAAGTCAGTGCCATCAATACCAGATAAGGAAATCAAAAAGTATAAACATGCATTGTAGCAGTAAGCCAGACCTCAGCTGGGATGTTACTGCATATCTCCCTCCCTGTAACACCCTGTAGCAACTGCTCCAAAAAGCACAGAGGAGCTAAAGTAGTTTTTTTTTTAAAAAAAAAACAAACACCAAACCACAAAAAAACAATTGTAAAATTCCCAAGCACCCAGAATCTCAAAGAAGTAGTGCACAGTGTAACAAGGCAGGCTTAGCTTGCTGCTGTTTCCTTAAATGTGCAGAATAATTAAAAATAAAAGAAAGCTGCTACTGCGAACATCTGCCCAGCCACACGAAGCAGCAGAAACTCAGCTGAGGGCCAGCAGGCATCAAGGGGGAGAGGGAACAAGGTTGGCCCTGTGCAGGTAACTGTGCCTCTGTTACATGAATGGTGCATGGTGTGCGGGCAACTGCAGCAGTTCCTGCAGCAACCTTAAGTAATAGCAGCACAAATGCAGCAAAACTGTCACCTGAATAAGGACCAAAAAAACCTCTGTTTGCAGCTTATCAAAAAGAGAAGAGCCACTTCACATGTATCTTAGCCAGCACAGAAAGAGTCCCTGAGGCCAACAGTTATAGGCAAGTTGACTTCAACCAGGGAAGTTAACCGATGTGCCTCTTGGTGAAGGGCTTTAAAAGTTTGAATGATCTTAGAGCAGATAATAGCGTTTGATACAGATTGTGTGTCTTAACATTCATTGTGCTGGCACAGAACCTGTTACATCTTAGCAGCAGTGGAAGATAGATTTCAATACCGATCCTGCATTAAGATTGGTCCCTGTAACAACACCAGAAGGGAAAAAGCTTTCTTCTGCAGTGGAAAACAAAGCTTTCCTTGTTGCTTGGTTACCCTAGGCTCTGTTCAATTCTTGCAGTAATCTCAGTGCAGCTGTGTTCTTTGGTTCAGTTTTCAACAGGCTCTTGATATCAGCAATACTTGATTTGTAATCCTAGAAGGAGAATATTTTTAAGTGTTAGTACATTGAAAATGCTGTCTATGGTTCTTGGTGCAGAATTATTACCCCACAACACAACTAAGTCTGTGACTCCCTCTGTTCTAGGACTCCCTCTGATCTAGGTGTTCCTGCTCCGGCAGGGGGATTGGACTAGATGATCTTTCGCGGTCCCTTCCAATCTCTAACATTCTGTGATTCTGTATAATTGCTTAAGCACCAGCATCAATGTAGCTGTTCTAAAACATGCTTATACGAGGGCTGGGAAGACAACTTCACCACTTAAGTGGGTTCCGAGTCCAGCACCAATGCATGAAGTCTTCCACTATGGCCCAAAGAATCTCTCACCAGACATGAAAAGATAAAGCTCAATACAACATGTAGCTGCTTCCAGTATCTCCAGAAACAGGACCTGGTGCTAAGAAACTCCTGAGATCCAACCAGCAAATAGCGATGTGAAAGAAAATCCCCCCAGTCCACCCAGGTTTCAGCTATCTGAAGGCAGATGTTGTCTAGCACAGAAATGAGTTCTAAAGGGCATCTCTTGCCCTGATCATGCATGAACAGGCCTCTAGTCCTAGCCTAGAACTGTTTAAAAATTCCTGACTTACCTTCAGTTCTTTAAGTGCTTGAGCACGTCTGTAGAGTGCCTTAACATTTTTAGGATCCAGCCTCAGAGCTTCTGTGCAGTCCTGCACTGCTTCCGTGTATTGCTTCAGAGCCAGGTAACAGAGAGCTCTGCAAGAGAGGTGCCTGGTTAGAGACCTCTGGCTAAACCAGCATCTACTGCATCTGCACAGCAGACCTCAGCCAGCCCCTGGGCAGCACGAAGCTGCACTCCAAAACCAGTCTTTATCCTCATATGTTATGTAATCTTACTTCTTGAACTCAAGTTTGTTTTGGTTATAAGGTGGGAAAAAAGGAAACAGTTTTTCAGACTGGAGAATTAAAAAAAAAAAATCCTCCTGAACTTGGAGGATGCAGGTTCCCAGCTATACCAGTCCAGAATATGCTCTGCTTGCTGCAGTTTCCTTAGAAGTACTTTGAGTCCTCAAGTGTCGCAGGAGATACTTCCCAAACTATCACAGTCCTGGCAGACAAGCACTAAGGGGAGAAAACCCTTAGCAGCCTTAAGCTGAATGGCCTCAAGAGTTTTTGCAGTACTTGATCAAAGAACCTTATGCAAACTACAGGGAAGACTGCACTTGGGGCGACCATGTGTGGGTGGATTTGTTTTATTCATTTGGTAGGGAGGAAACATTAGACAGCTCTGTCAGAAGCATCACGGTGGCTTTTATACAGGGCCAAAAGAAGTACTTGGGCAAAGAGCCAAGTAGTACCTGTTGGTGTAAGTGGCACACTCCTGGTTGAGCTTTAAGCTCTCACTATACTTCTCAACTGCTTTTTTATGGTTTCCTTTCTTTACAAGTTCATTTCCTTCTTCCTTCAGAGTTCGAGCTCTCTCTGTCCCAGCAGCAGTCTGGTCTGCAAATAGTGTGAAAGAACACAGAAGGCTGTAAAACTGACAAGATCAGTGCAGCCTCTCGGACAGCAAATATCCCCAGACCAGAGGCGAGACACAGAGACATCAAAGGATCCAGAATCAGCCACAAAGGCTGTGGCAGAACCAGGCCCAGGTCTCTCCAGGGCTCAGCCCCAGCTGCAGACACGCCAAGCAGGCATGGCAGCTGCCTTGTTCATCACCCTTCTGAGCTGCAGGGCTCTGTGCCCGGCCCAAGCGCACACTCTCACCTGGTTCTCCCTGCGGTGTAGTCACAGGAGGAGTGTTTGCCCCGGGGGCTGCAGCAGAAGGAATGCTCCACCTCATCTGGGCAGAAACAGGGACCGAGGGGATTGGTGGGAGCTTCTGGCGCCAGTTCGTGCCATCCTTCTCCAGCAGGGCTTTAGTCATCCTGGAAGAGACAGCTGGCTGTCACCCCAGCTGTTGGCTGGACGGGCCATGCAGTAGCCAGCCAGGTCACATTTTAACCTGGCTCGTGTTTGGAGGACAGCATCTCTCCACTAACCCCTTTCCATGCATCTAAACTTCCTTCTACAGACAGGACATTAATGAAAGGAGCCTCTTGATCACTATGGTCCTTTTCAACCCAGGCTATTCTATGATTCTATGATTCTCTTCATGTCAGCAGGGCTAAAAATACCACAGCAGCAGGGCTGAGCTGTCAGTGCTCAGCAGAGCAAGAGATGTGCAGGTCACTCCTCAGCCTGGCAAGCGATGAAGTAAAGCAGACAGCTCCAGGAAGGAAAAAGGACTATGGCAGCCTGTAAACCCAGTCAGCATAGGGAGGCTTAATGGATAGGGCAATGGAGTCTCTAGTTTATTATTTGTTTTAAAACAGGCACTGAGCAAAGCAGAAACAGTCCCAGGGAATTAATTCTGAGCCCTTAACCAGCACCTTGAAAGGAATGAAGGGTGCCAGCAGACACCAAGCAGGCTGCCCAGAGAAGCTGTGGATGCCCCATCCCTGGAGGGGTTCAAGGCCAGGCTGGACGAGGCTTTGAGCAACCTGGGCTGGTGGGAGGTGTCCCTGCCCATGGCCGGCACTGGATGGTCTCTAAGGTCCCTTCCAACCCAAACCCTCCTGTGACTCTATGAAAGGGAGCACGGCCAGGCC